TAGACTGGTGTCCTAGAGCCACACGGCTGCCCAGCTGCCCTCAGGACCACTTGCCACGGTGTTAAGCTACTCAGAAGAGAAACTTGGGTGGACCCTGGTGAAGCCTGACCCAAGTATCCTTTAAGCATTGCACGGAATCTTCCCCATCCTGGCTTCCTCGATCTCTAGAATTTACCCAAGTTGTAACAAAAGGCCAGCAGCATGGAGATAATTGTTTTCCCCTAACTCACCTTCTGATAACAGCATCTTGCACCCACTGGGTGCAGCCATGGAAGAGTCAAGGCGCCTCCCTCCTTCCTTGTCAGGGGGCTGGCATGTGACCCAGCCAGGCCAGCAGTGGGTTTCCTGGGAAGCGGAATCTTGAGAGTGATAGAAATGGGTTACAGTGACGCCCTGTAAAAGGTGTCTGATTATTCCTACTGCCCGGATTCCCAGAGCTGTCCTGTGTCTTGTCCTAATTGTGACCTGGCTGTTCAGCATCCTTTCATTCTGAGAGTTTCCCTTCCAAGGACTTCAAACAAATTCATTTTAAAAAGGCACCCAGAGGGGCACCTGGGTGGCTCAGTCGGTTAAGCGTTCAACTTCAGCTCAAGTCATAATCTTGTGGTCAGTGAGTTCGAGCCTCACATCGGGCTCTGGGCTGACCACTCAGAGCCTGGAGCCTGCTTCGGATTCTGTGTCTCCCTCTCTCTCTGCCCCTCCCCCACTCGCACTCTGTATCTCTCTCTGTCTCTCTCTCTCTCAAAAAATGAATAAACATTAAAAAAAAAATAGATAGCCAGAATGTATTTCTTTTTCCTTGAGACTAGAGAATGCTAAGTGACACAAATGGGCCGAATCGAACAAGGTGACATCACATGCAAGGGATACTTGTATGGGACTGACAAGGGTCCCAAACCACCTGCATGTGGGCCTGGTGGTAAAAATGGACCCAGGAGTAGAGCATGGGATGGGAGTTGGGGGGTTCTCAGGAACAACACAGCAGAAGCCAGCAAGGCAGTGAGAATGCCCTTTCTCCCTCCAAATTATGGTTTCATTTAAGATGGCATTTATTTGGACAAGCCAAATGATGCTCATGTGGCTCCTGCAGAGTGCTCTGTCCCTGCAAGACAGGCCACTTGGAGCGCCTGGGTGGCTCAGCTGGTTAAGCATCTGACTCTTGGTTTCCACTCAGGTCATGGTTTTGGCTTAGGTCATGATATCGCGGTTCACGGGATCAAGCCCCGTGTCAGGCTCCACGCTGACAGTGTGGAGCCTGTTTGGGATTCTCTCTCCCTCTCTCTCTCTCTCTCTCTCTGTCCCTCCTTTGCTTGCGCTCTGCCCATGAGCTTTCTCTCTCTCTCAAAATGAACGGACTTGAAAAGAAAAGTAAAGAAAAGAAAAGAGAAAAGCCACTATGGGGAAGAATCTGGAAATCCCATCAAAGGAGGGAGTAGTGGAAGGAGGTGAACTCCAGGAGTTAAGCCTGGAGCCAAGAGGGCACGCAATCTTAAAATGTCACTTTTTCAGCCCTCTGACAATAATTCCTGGCTTGTTGGGCATTGCTAGGTAAGGCAGGACATACTCTCCTTTGGAAAACTAACAGTCTAGTACCCTGATGGGGTTGTGGGGGGGCAGTGCCGTCTCCGGATGGGGAGTGGACTTCTTGGAGGAGGGGCTATCTAAGGTGAGTCTAGAAAGATGTGCAGGAAGGAGTCACTTCAGCAGATGGACAGGTGGGGTGGGCACGGGAGTGGGGCCTTCTAGGCAAGGGCAGTAGCTGGTTCCAGGGCTGTATGGGGAGCGGGCATGGTGTCTTTCATGGAGTGGGGACTGAGTGTGAGGGAGTTGGCATCAGATCAGAAAAAGCCTTAGATGTCATGTCATGCCAAGGGAACCACTGAAGGTTTTTTTTTTTTTTTTTTTTAAGATTTTATTTATTTATTGTGTGTGAGAGAGAGGGCGTGCACACGTGTGCAGGGGAGGGACAGAGAGAGAGGGAGGGACAGAATCCCAAGCAGGCTTCATGCTATCAGTGTGGAGCCCAGCGTGGGGCTTGAATCCACAAACTGTGAGGTCATGACCGGAGCCAAAACCAAGAGTCGGATGCTGAACCGACTGAGCCACCCAGGCACCCCACCACTGAAGGTTTCAAAGAAGGAAGAAACCAAATGAAATCGACATGAAAGAAAATCACTGTGGAAAAGATCTGGAAGCTGAGCAAGACTAGAATACATGAGACAAGTCAGGAGTTGGTTGGAATAGTCTGAGGAGGGAAGGGTCTGGGCTGGTGCAGTGGCAGTGGGGACAGGGAAGGAATTGTTGGAAGGTTACGGGGGTGGCAGCATAAGGGGAGGAAAGGAAAAGATGAGGTCACAGAAGGCCTGTCCACCAGGTAAGACATTTAGTGATGAGGATTGGCAGGTGGTCTTCCAAAGAGCCATCCTGGCCATGGCAACAGAACCTTGGGCAGCCAAGTGCCACTTTATCAGAACAGCCAGACCGTCTGGTTGTCAGAGGCTGACACGCAGTAAGGAAACCCATAAGGGACCGCTTCATAGTTTCAAGTACCGATGCGTTAACTCCCAGTAGAAAATCAAACTTAAGAGGCACCTGTAGGTCAAGCGTCTGGTCAAGCGTCTGGCTCTTAATCTCAGGTCAGGTCATGATCTCACGGTTCGTGGGATCGAGCTCCTCATCAGGCTCTGTGCTGACAGTGTGGAGCCTGCTTGGGATTCTCTGTCTCCCTCTCTCTGCCCCTCCCCTGCTCACGCATGCACTGTCTCTCCCTCTCTCTCTCTCAAGACAAATAAGATGTTAAAAAGAAAAGAAAAGAAAAGAAAAGCGAACTTCAGAAAACCTAAATAGATCTTCCCAGAGGGACCGAGTGCATGGGTCACTCACCAGGCATCTCTACCCACTCGTCAAGGACCCTGGAGGCTGGTGGGTCATCAGAGGTCACCAAGGGAGAAGGAGAATGAAGTGTGGGTATGGGTATAGGTGTGTGGGGACACTGCGAGGCTATTTATGATGACCACGAGCAACTTGCTGTGAGGACTGCTGTCCACTGATGCATCGATGATGCTTGTGAAGGGAAGGCTCACACCCACTGGATTCAACGCCTCTCGCCCTGGAGTGGGTAAGTTACCAAATTCCATCTCTCCCTTTGGTCTCCGTTTTCTGGACATCTCTCCCACTTTTGGGCCTACTTTGGGCCACTTTTTCCTGTTGATACATCTTCCCACTACAAGCAGTGCCTTATTTCTCACACATTGTGGCAGTTAAGGATGCAAAAGGTGGGAAATAGATTTACCTGTCATATGGTGGAGTCTGTTCCTGGAACCCACAAGTGCTATAAAACCCCTATTTATTATGTAAATGTTTATGGGTATTTTCTTGTACGACTCAGTAAAAGCAGTCACAGGGGACGGTGGGGAATGAAGAGACTGTTCCGGAACAAAAGAGATTTAAGAGCCATAACATGCCCCGAAAATGCATGGTGTGGGCTTATCTGAAGTCGAATTCAAGCACAGCTGTTATAAAAGACATTTCTTGGGAACAATTATTGAATACTCAGTATTAGATCATGTCAAAGAATTGTTAAATTTTAAATTTTTTAATGTTTATTTATTTTTGAGAGAGACAGAGAGACAGAGAGATAGAGAGTGAGTGGGGAAGGGGCAGAGAGAGAGGGTTGGGGGAGACACAGAATTCAAAGCAGGCTCCAGGCTCTGAGCTGTCAGACAGCCCAATGCAGGGCTCCAACCCACAAACCGTGAGATCATGACCTGAGCTGGTCAGATGCTCAACTGACTGAGCCACCCAGTCGCCCAGAACTGTTCAATTTTAAGGGGTGATAATAACATGGTGCTTATGTGAGAAAATGTCTACATATTTTAGAAATGACAGAATATCATAATGTCTGGGATTTGTTTTAAAATACTTTAGCAAAGGACAGAAATAGATGAATCTATGGCAAAATTTGATCATCGTTGAAGTTATGAGTATATGGGGGTTCGTTGCACCATTCTATTTTGTGTGTGTGCGTGTGTGCACATTTTCATAATCATAAAAAAGTTAAAGACAGATCACATAGTAACATTAAATATAAGTAGCCATAAAATTAAAGTTCCTAGGGTAATTTCTTACCACCCAACTCTTACTCTCTCACCTCACTTAAGAGACGAGAAAAATTATTTTTTAAATTTTATTTATTTTTATTTAAAAATTTTTTAAATATTTATTTTTGAGAGAGAGAGGTAGAGCACAAGCGGGAGAGGGGCAGAGAGAGAGGGAGACACAGAATCCGAAGCAGGCTCTGGGCTCTGAGCTGTCAGCACAGAGCCCAACGAGGGGCTCGAACCCACAGGCTGTGAGATCATGACCTGAACTGAAGTCAGACGCTTAAGCAACTGAGCCACCCAGGTGCCTCTTATATTTTATTTTTAAGTAATCTCTATGCCCAACGTGGGGCTTGAACTCACAATCCTGAAATCAAGAGCCACACGCTCCACTGACCGAGCCAGCCAGGTGCCCCGGGAAAAATTCATTTTAAAGCCTTGCTGATGCTGATTTTTCAACAGAAATTTTGCACAAGATAGTGCTGGAGAGTCTGATGTGGGTGGGTTTTAGTGGCTTTTCTTGAAAATTTCCAAGAGGAAATTGAATATTTATTTCTTCTCTTGAGAACAGATTCTCTAATGAGCTGGCTGTCACCAACAGCTTTACAGACCTGGGAGGAGGCTGAGGGCAGGGCTGAGAAGTCTGGCTTTGGAATCAGACACATGAAGTTCCAGTCCTGACTCTGACCCTTCATAAGCCACAGGATCTTTGGTAAATCACTGAACCTCAAAAAGCCTCAGTCTCCCCCTCTATAAATGGGGATGTTGATAACCACCTTGTAAAATTTTATTAGAATGAGTTCTTTCTATGCTTGGCATATGCTAAATGCTCATGAACCATTAGCTACTGTTATTATTCTTGATACATTTGGGTCACTGACATTTCTTTGTCATTATTAATTTTTTTTTTTTTTTTGGTAATATGACTTTCTCAAAAAATATGGATACAGGAAAAAGTGGGGTTAGATTCCACTATCTAGAAGCTGGACTGCCTATATCACGTTTTCAGGTTCTCTCTCCCTCGCGGGAATCACCCGCGATTTCTCCACGCCACAGCCACCTTGCCAGAAATCGGTGTAAGATCCACGGGGAGGGATCTTACACTCCCCTTGCACTTTCGGTGGACGCACTTAGAGTACATATTTGGGAAGCGATTCAAGTGCACACTTTGACAACAGAGGAAATAAAGAAACTGTAGACTTAAAAAGAGACTCAAATATACATTTTGCAAACAAGAGGAATTACAGCGCGCAAAGTACGTACCTGAAAGGAAATTCAGATACACGTTTCAAGAGAAAGTCACGGTTTTCGCTCAGTGTTGTTAACATTCAGAAGGTCTGATATCATTTGCTTGTGATTATGGGAAGCTCATCTTCCTCTCCCTGAGGATATACAAGCCCCATGTTTATACCTGTCCATTCGATAGGCTCTAAAGACACCAAGAGACCCGGGAAGAGAGGGACGTGGGGAGACACTGGCAATAGCCATCACAAACTGCAGCTGCAAACAAGGTCAAGAACTAGGAATCCTGACAGGTCCTCCCTTTCTGGGTATCTGCCTGAAGAAATGAAACCACTGTCTCAAAGAGATATCTGTACCCCTATGTTCACTGCAGTATTGTTTACAATAGCCAAGATGTGGAAGCAAGCTAAGTGTCCATCGATGGATAAACGGATGAAGAAGAGGGGCGCCCAGGTGGCCCAGGTGTCTAACTTCAGCTCAGGCCATGATCTCACGATTCGTGGGTTCGAGCCCCATGTCGAGCTTTGTGCTGACAGCTTGGAGCCTGGAGCCTGATTTGGATTCTGTTTCCCTCTCCCTCTCTCTGCCCCTCCCCTGCTTGTGCATTCTCTCTCTCTCTCTCTCAAAAAATAGATAAATAAACATCTTGAAATCATTGTTGCACCATGCGCTAACTTGGTGTAAATTATAAAAAGTAAATAAATTATAGAAAGAAAAAATAAACACTTTTTAAAAAATGGATGAAGAAGATGTGGTATTCATATGCTATGGAATATCATCCATAAATAGGAGGGAAATCCTGCCATTCGCGACAACAGGGATGGACCTTGAGGACATTACGCTAAGCGAAATAAGTCAAACAGAGAAAAGACAAACACTGTATGATCTCACCTATATGTGGAATCTATAAAACCAAACTCACAGGGACAGAAAGTAGACTGGTGGTTGCCAAAGGCTGGGGCGTGGGAGAAATGGGTGGTTAAAGGGTACAAACTTCCAGATGATTAAGTATTTTTTATATGTTTATTTATTTTGAGAGTGTGTGCGCGCTAACAGAGGAAGGGCAGAGAGGGAAGGAGAATCCCAAGCAGGCTCCGCGCGGTCAGCGCAGAGCCCAATGCAGGGCTTGAACTCACGAACCGTGAGATCATGACCTGAGCCGAAACCAAGAGTCGGATGCTTAACTGCCTGAGCCACCCAGGCACGCCAATGAATAAGTATTTTTAAGATGAATAAGTTCCGGGGGCACCTGCCTGGCTCGGTCAGTGGAGGATGTGACTCTTGGTCTCGGGGTTGCGAGTTCTGGCCTCATGTTGGATGGAGAGATTACTTAAAATTGGAATCTTTTAAAAAACATAGTAAATTCTGGGATGTAATGTATAGTGTGGTGACTATAGTTAACACTGTATGATATACTTGAAAGTCGCTAAGAGAATAGATCTGGAAAGTTCTCACCGTACCCACACAAAAGGTAACTATGTGAGGAGACTGATGTGTTAACTAACCTTATTGTGGTAATCATTTTGTAATATATCCATATATCAAATCATCATGTCATACAGCTTAAATTTACACAATGCTGTATGTCAATTATATCTCAAAGCCGGGGAAAAAAATGAGGAATCCTGCAAGAGCCCTCTTTTGGCATTAATCATCTGAAGTGGTTTATCCAGGTGGGTGTTTTGATCCTTAATCCATCGTTTTTAGAGACATCCCATTTCGTTATGTTTCAGACACACCCTTGGAAAGGCAGGCCCGTCATTTCACACGCATGTTTTTGTTTTTGTGTTTTGTTTTGCTTTGTTTTGTTTTGAGAGAGAAAGAGAGTGTGTTTGTGGGGGAAAGAAACAGAGAATCTTCAGCAGGCTCCATGGAGCCTGACTCAGGGCTTGATCTCAAGATCCTGAGATCATGACCTGAGCCCACATCAAGAGACGGATGCTCAACTGACTGAGCCGCCCAGGCACCCTTCACAGATGTTCTTTAAGTTTGCCTTTGCACCCCTCACTCACCCTCAGGGCAATGAGCACTCACCTGTGGCCCAAAATGCCTTTCCAGTATCTCCATCTTTATCCAAAGCACACGGCACTGGGGTTAGCCCTGTGTTTTCCCTTTTCTGAGCCAGTCTTACAGAACAAGAGCAAATGCCAAGCAAATGTCAAAATAAGCACATAGAAAAGCTAAAAGTGGGGAAGGTACCGTGGGACAGCCTGAAGTATTGGTTTGGCAGGGCTGTGAAGGTGTCCCGGCTTAGCCGGGTGACCGGTTGACCCAGGTTAGACCGGTGACCCAGGAGGGTTGGAGCATAAGTAGGAAAGGGTCCGTGTGCAGACCCTGGCGGGCAGCTGGCTGCCTGGACAGGTTAATGCCGTGGAGAATTCGAGAAGGCATCTGCTGCTGTCATCCATGTAATCAGCTAGGGATGCATTTTTCGCTTTCTCGCTCCCCCTGGCTAGGTTTCAGCCTCAGCTATGCTTCTCTGAGATCACATTGAGATGTCACTGAGATGAGGCCTGCCTGTCCCTCCCTGAGGCTCCTTAGCTGCGCCTTTGAGAGAGGAGCTGACCTCACGCCGGAGCGCGCTGTATCTTGCTTGTTACATTCTCTAAGGGTGAGCTTCTCAAGGGGCACCTCCGCTTTGTTCCTCTGTCTTAAACGTCCAGTTGATACTTAGCCCATTGTGATCTGATTTCCTTCCCTTCCCTGGAAGTTTCTAGAACTTCCAGCGTGCCCAGCACTGACCCCCTAATTGCTGACACTTCCCTAGACGTCTGTTTAGTAACCAGCACATCACCACTCTTGACTACGAATTCTCTTCTCTTGGCTTCTTCAACACTCTCTTCGGCTTCTCCTCCTCCTCCCTCTTCTTCCTCTGTCCAGTGTTCCCCACTGACAGGGGCTCTCTGTCACTTGGGTCCTCTCTGGAAGGTCTGTGCACTCCCATGGTTACATCACACAAATGCAGGTGCCCCCCAGGCCTACCCTTCATGAATCTGGGTACCGCTGCCCATGGGAGCCCCCCTCCCCCTCGATGTCACACAGGCACCTCAAACTCAGTAAGATCTGAACTCAACTCCTTACGGGCATAATCTGGTCCCTCCCGACTTCTCTGGCTTCACGCCCTCTCTCCACAGCAATACCAGATTGTGGTGGGCTCCACCCTAAGGTGGCCTTATAGCTAATTAAATCAACCTAATATGGGAGGCAGCAGAATGTTTTCAGACCCTTAGAATAGCAGCTTGGCATTGCGTCACAGTGGTCCCATCTGCTCTATGTTCAGAAAGCCTCAGTATAGAACCTATAGAAACGTTGGGATCCCATTCCCAGACAACAGCAGGGCCCCTAAAGGGGCCCCAAGCTCCATGACTTCCAGGATCAGGAGTCCTTCCTCTGAGTGAAGGTGAGTGGCAGGGCGGTGATGAACTGAAACACACAGTTCCCTCCTAGCATTACCCGGTGTATGCTCACGTGAATGTTGCCACAGTCTCTGAGTTTCCAAGAGAATCCAGAAATCTGGATTTTCACGTGAATCTTCCAACTGTGAAATGTCAGCAACAAATGCAAAATTCAAAATACACTATGTGCGCTGTTTAAGAACACTGCGTGAATCACTCAAAACCATATCCATATCTAGCCTGTGGGTTATGGGTCTGTGAACTAGAAAGAATAGAAGGTGTGGAGGCTTTGGAGTCAGAAAGACACCAACTCAAATAGTTCTCTGAGTTGTAACGAGGATGAGAGGTCATATTTGTAAAATGGCCAGCACAGAGCAGTCCCTAAATGGAAGTCAATTGCCACTTAATCAGCACGACTGACACATCTATAAAAAGGACATGTTTACCTGGTCAGCATAGGACAATAGGGAATATGAGCACCACCAAGGAAGGGGAGACTGAGTCACAAACCCTCACAGCTCAGTAATTCCATTGCCCGTTTCCCCTGTACTGGAAATGGGCAGCTCTACACGAGCCATGTGGCCAGTCTGTGCACAACCTTCTGATTTATGCCCCAGCCTGGTTTGTGTTTAGCTCTCTGATGCACTTAGAAAAGCCTGGTGCCCCAGACCATCACAGCTGGGGTTCTGAGTCTGGAACTAGAGGGAGGACTTGGCCAAAAGACATCCTTCCTGAGAACCCCTAGACATTACCCACATTGTCACCCCCAAAACTGTGTCAGCCATGAGGAGTGCCTGCAAGGTCTCCCAGAGGTCAAGAGGCCTGGGGCCGCATCCCTTATTTGAGGATCCAGACAAATTAAAAACGAACAGTTGCCAGGATAAGTTTTTATAGTATATTCTAAACATTTCCATTTAACAAATGCACACACACACACACATGCACACAATAGAATACTATTTAACTGCAATTCATGGGTAATTAGATGACCTACCTTATCTACAGAAAGCCCTTCTTCACTTCCTCTCTGTTCTCCTGCTGACTTCTCTTCATCATTTCCTGCTTCAAATTCAGCTCCTCTGCTGAGAATCCTCTGACTTCCTCTTGAGGAACCTCTGAACTGATTTATGCCGCTGCATACTTTTATTATTGTGATTTGGGATTTGTGGTGCACCTTCCACTGGCCTGGGAACTCCTCTAGGGGGAGGGACCGGAGTAAACTCTTTTGTGAGATCGAGCCCCACGTTGGGCTTGCGCAGACAGCATGGAACCTGCTTGGGATTCTCTCTCTTTGCCCCTCCCCTGCTCGTGCTCGTGCGCGCGCGCGCGCGCGCGCTCTCTCTCTCTGTCAAAACAAATCAATAAACTTAAAAAAAAGAAAGCGTTAAGGACCCCAAAAAGCTTTAAAAATAATGAGTCCAAGAGCAGGAGCTCCAAGACAGGAAGTGCTTTGGGAACTCGCTCCTGTGGGGTAAGTGGTTGGGCAGCCCTGCCCTTCTCTGGACTCTGGCCAGCATTGCTCTCTAAGACTCAGCTGATCCCCTCCCCTGCAACCGCCTCACTTCTTTCTGGTGAGGTCCCTCCCCACCGTCAAGCTCAGCTCAAGCAGAAACCACCATCTCTGGCACCTGGACACAGCCACACAGGGGTTTCTTCTCATTTGATCCTGACAATCACTCCAGAGACAGATGTCATGACTTCACTCTTCACAGACAAGGAAACAGAGGCCAGAAATTCCTTCACAGATGAGAAAACGGAGGCCAAAAAGGCACTTGGCCAAAGTCTCGCAGCGAGGGAGATGTAATTGCAGTCAGGGCTCTGGACACCGGTGGTTGTGACATGGATGCCGCTTTGACTTTTAGAGCTGGCATGTGAGGAACACACTCGAAACAGGAAATGGCTTTCCCCTCAGGCTCTCTCTGCCCTTCCTCTCAATATCCAAAAACATGAACAGCTCGTCAGGAGCTGTGGTTGGTGACTTGTGAAAAGGAAGTACCGCAGAAGTGCTGGTGAAGTGAGGAAGCCAGTCAGACGGATATCTGGTAGGAGACCATTCCAGGCAGAGGGAACAGCAAATGCAAAAACCCTGAGGCAGGGGCCTGCTAGACAAATCGAAGGAGCTAGGAGGCCACTGTGGCTAGAGCAAAGGAGCAAAAGGGATAATGTAGGGAAGGGATCAGAGAGGGCACACGGTCTTAGGGCCCTCTTAATGATGTGGCTTTCACCGAATGAAATGGAAACCACCGGAAGGTTTTGCGCAGAGCAGTGACCTGACTGTAGCTAGGTCTTAAAAGAGGTGGAAGAGAGACCTCTTTTAAGAGCACCACAGGCTTCAGCTCTGGGATGAGCTACACCCTGACCCATTCCCAGCTGAGGGGCCTTGGCATTCTGTCTCTCATTCTTGGTTCTACAGGAAATAACAATAAAATTTCAGCTGGGCACCCTTTCCTGCCTGCAGCTGACATAACTGGGCCAAACTTTTGTGTAGGCGATGGAGAGGGGAGGGAGTCAACTCCAGGGGCTTGTGTGTTTAATGTGGAATTTTCTAGACAGGTTGGTAATGGTCCCATGGGGGTGCAGGCCTCATTCGGTCCACCAGTATCTAGCCAGCACCCATCTTTTGGGAGCCTAGGACTCTTTCTGCCTCAGGGGAGGTGGGGGATGGTCAATAAGCCATCAACAAGACCATGCACAGTCATGGTAGCCAGAAATGGGTAGTCCCCACCATCCCCAAATTCAGGCCTGTGGGTCATGGCACAGAGCTTACCTCTGGAAATTCATTCTACTGCTCTATTGTCAAGGCTAGCAGCCTTTTCTGGCCCTGCTTCTCCTAGGCCTGGCCAGGCTCCTGAATGAGCAGCCTTGGAGTCCCACGGCTCCTCTCCTTTAAAGGACTTTCCACAGTTGAGCTCTTACACAGATTAGTAGGATTCTTTGAGGTCTCTCCCCACCCCACCATTCTAAGATCTACAGGGCCTGGTAAAGGCTTTGTCCATGTCCTTCACCGCTGTGTTCTAGAGGCACCCCCGGCATGGTCCCTGACATATAAGGGGTGCTCAAGAAATAGGCTGAAAGAGTAAATGATAAAGGAGAAAGGCAGGTAATGCTTTTCCCTTTTACAGGCAATAAAACATGCCCAGACAGGAGGTATGACTGCCTTCTGGCCCAGTTCCTATAGCTGGAGCACCCAGGAGCACAGGGCCACACCCATGGTCTCCTGGGCCCTCCACAGTCTTCTCCTCTGCTCCTCCGCAGTTACTGCGGAGCCAGTCCTGAGCCCCCCAACAAGACCGGTTTCCCAAGGAAAAAACCCTAGGTCAGGAGTGGAGCAGGTAACAGCCTATTAATAACAATAACAGCACTTAGAATGTACCAGACACTCTTCTTCCACAGCAGCTCTTTGAGGCAGGTTGTATTGGCACCCTCACTTTAAAGATGAAGAAATGGGGCACAGGGAGGTAAGTGCCCGACCCAGTAGCAGAGTCTAGGTCGGGGAAGCGAGGCCGAGAGCGTGAGGCTGCACTGAGTTGCCTCTGCTGCAGCGCCGAACATCAGCATAGGCGTCAGAGGTCAAGTGTTCTTCGAGCTCTGCCTTGGGTGCCCCATGTCCTCGTTTCCTCATTTGTAGACCGTGAGCATTAATAATGGCTAGCCTATAGGGTTGTCGGAAGACCAATGCACGCAGTTTAGTACGGTGCCCAGCGCACAGGAAACGATCAATAAATGTTAATTATTGATACTTTTTGTTATTGTTAGGAGTGTTTCTGGGCCTGGAATGGAGGGCTGTAGGGCGGCATCCTTGCAGACTACAGGTGAGGTCATCCAGGGAGGCAGGGGTGCGCGGCCCCTCTCCCTCCCTTACCGGCCGGAGCAGGCGGGGCGAGAGTGAAGGGAACGGCGGCCCCGCCCCGCCAGGCTTTTTAAAAAAGGGGACGCTGGGCGCAGGCGCAGAATCGTCCAGCCATCTGTCTCGCGCCGGCCCCGACGCGCACGCGCATGGAGGGGCGCGCGAGCCGCCCGGACGAGGCCCGCGGCCGCCCCGCGGCGGCCGTGCTGTGCCGCGGCCCCGTGGAGCCGCTTATATTCCTCGCCAACTTCGCTTTGGTCCTGCAGGGCCCGCTCACCACGCAGTACTTGTGGCACCGCTTCAGTGCCGACCTCGGCTACAATGGCACCCGCGACAGGGGCAGCTGCAGCAACCACAGCGCGGACCCCATCATGAAGGTAGCGGCGCCGGAGGGGCGCGGAGCGTGGCACCGGGTGGGCCCCGGGCTGGAGCGCTGGGCAGCCGATGGGGCGGGGCCTGCGTCTGTGTCCGGGCAAGCTGCGGGGGCGGGGGGTGGGTGGGTATGGAGATTGGGTAGTGGGCGGGGCCAGAGCCTAGTTGGCGCCGGACCGACCCCTGCAGTGTGGGGGGTGCTTAAAGTTCCTCTAGGTCTAGAGCAAGGCCGGGAGGATTAGCAAAGGGAGGATTAGTAAGGGCCTGGGACCGTAGTCCATTCCACTTAACCCAGCACCGGTTCTCTGAGGTTTAGGGCTCCAAAGATAGTCCCCATCCCCGTCTCTCCCAGGATGGTGACGGTTGGGAGTTGGGCAACCCAGAGTGAGGAACAGCACCCTGGTAAGATTCATGTCCCCACAGGAAGTGGAGACCCTTACCTCCCACTGGACCCTCTACATGAACCTGGGCGGCTTCCTTGTGGGGCTCTTCTCATTCACCCTGCTGGGTGCCTGGAGTGACTGTGTGGGCCGCCGTCCACTGCTGGTGCTGGCCTCACTGGGCCTGTTGCTGCAGGCCCTGGTGTCCATCTTTGTCGTGCAGCTGCAACTCCACGTCGGCTACTTCGTGCTGGGCCGCATCCTTTGCGCTCTCTTTGGGGACTTCAGTGGCCTCCTGGCTGCTGGCTTTGCCTCCGTGGCAGATGTCAGCTCCAGCCGCAGCCGCACCATGCGAATGGCCCTGCTGGAATCGTGCATCGGGGTGGCGGGGATGTTGGCGAGCCTTCTCGGGGGCCACTGGCTCCGGGCCCAGGGTTACGCCAACCCCTTCTGGCTGGCCTTGGCCTTGTTGATAGCCATGACTCTCTATGCAGCATTCTGCTTTGGTGAGACGGTGAAGGAGCCAACGCCTGCCCAGCTCTTCACGGTCCGTCACCACCGATCCATTGTCCGGCTCTACGTGACTCCCGCCCCAGAGAAGTCCAGGAGGCATTTAGCCCTGTATTCCTTGGCCATCTTCATGGTGGTCACTGTGCACTTTGGGGCCCAGGACATCCTGACCCTCTATGAACTGAGCAAACCCCTCTGCTGGGACTCCAAGCTGATCGGCTATGGTTCTGCAGCTCAGCACCTCCCGTACCTCACCAGCCTGCTGGGCCTGCGGCTTCTGCAGCACTGCCTGGCTGACGCCTGGGTGGCCGAGATTGGCCTGGCCTTCAACATTCTGGGGATGGTGGTCTTTGCGTTTGCTACCATCACACCCCTCATGTTCACAGGTAAAATGCGTGGGCTTGGGGACAGTGTGTCCCAGAGGCACTGGGTGAAAACTGGGGGTCAGACACTCCCTGCCCCTGCAGGTTCAGGCCTGTGTCTGGAAACATTGTTGTGCTCCTTGCCTGCACTGGAGGACAGACGAAGAAACTTCTATAAAAATGCCATCTTTGTCAAATGGAGAAGACAGACCTTCAGTAGCCTCAGTAGTTAATCCACATTATCAACTATAAATTGTTGTTAGTAAGATGGAACAAAAGACAAAAGTATGGCTCATAGGCTAATTGCTTCACTTCTTGGCCTCCCACAGCCAGTGTTTATGGTGTTCTTAAGCAAAGTCCATGCCACTAATGCCGTAATACTCACTTCTCTGATAAGAATCACAGGCCCTACCTCGGTATCTTTGGTCAGCTTCTTTGGGTTTTTTAAAAAGCCAGTCTTCTCAGACCACAGATAACAGATTCCTGCCTGCGTTAGTTCTTTTTCTTGTTCCTCTTTTTTTTTTTTTTTTTTTTTCCCTGGTAGGAGAGGGGTAGCTGGAAATGAGGAAGTTAACTTTTTTAAAGGAACAGATTAGGGGTGCCTGGGTGGCTCAGTCAGTTACACACTTGCCTCTTGGTTTCGGCTCAGGTCATGATCTCTCGGTTCATGAGATGGAGCTTCGTGTAGGGCTCTGCACTGACAGTGTGGAGCCTACTTGGGATTCTCTTTCTCTCTCTCTCTCTCTCTCTCTCTCTCTCTCTCTCTCCCTCTCTGCCCCTCCCCAACTTGTGTGCACACATGCTCCCTCTCTCTCTCTCTCTCTCTCATACTCTCAAAATAAATAAACCTTAAAAAAATAAAATAAAGGAACAGATTAATTTTGAGTCCTAAAATACGTTGTTTACAAAGTCAGCCGACCAGTAATCACCGATTTCTTAACTTGGCTGCTTGCCTGGAGAGTGAGGCCGAAGGGGACCGGGGACCTTCCTCTCCTGCCCACAGCATCTCCCCTGGCCTCAGTGCTGGGCTCAGTGCCCTCAGGGGTGCAGAGATGATGAAGGCACTGTCATTGCTCTGGGGAGCCTCAGCAGAGTGGGGTTTGAGGGCCTGACACCTAAACGGGCCCTGGGTTGCCTCATAAACCCACTTTGGAGGATCTACTGTCTTCTAGGAGGCAACAGTCCCACAGGGAGAGAAATCGTTATGGAAGAAGCAGTGTGAGCTTATGAGTAACAGATACAAAG